ATGGGGGGGGGACACCGGGACATGGGGGGGGTCACGGGGGGGTCACAGGTGACAAAAGCCGCCCCTCCCCCCCCCCAGAGCCGTGCCCGCCGGGATTCCAGCGGCAGAACGGATCGTGCGTGGGTGAGCGGGAACCGGACCGGGAACCGGACCGGGAATATCGGGAATGGGAACGGGAATTGGACCGGGAACAGGACCGGGAACAGGACCGGGAATATCGGGAATGGGAACGGGAATTGGACCGGGAATATCGGGACTGGGAACGGGAATTGGACCGGGAACCGGACCGGGAACCGGACCGGGAATATCGGGAATGGGAACGGGAATTGGACCGGGAACCGGACCGGGAACCGGACCGGGAATATCGGGAATGGGAACGGGAATTGGACCGGGAATATCGGGAATGGGAACGGGAATTGGACCGGGAACCGGACCGGGAACCGGACCGGGAATATCGGGAATGGGAACGGGAATTGGACCGGGAACCGGACCGGGAATGGGACCGGGAATATCGGGAATGGGAACGGGAATTGGACCGGGAATTGTCCCGGGAACTGGACCGGGAATATCGGGAATGGGAACGGGAATTGTCCCGGGAATGGGAACGGGAATTGGACCGGGAATGGGACCGGGAATTGGACCGGGAATTCCGGGAATGGGACCGGGAATTGTCCCGGGAATTCCGGGAACGGGAGCGGGAACGGCACCGGGAATTATCCTGGGAATATCGGGACCGGGAGCGGGGATTTTTTTCGGGACAGGGAATTTTCGGGACTGGGAATTTTCGGGACAGGGAATTTTCGGGACTGGGAATTTTCGGGATTGGGATTTTTCGGGACTGGGATTTTTCGGGACAGGGAATTTTCGGGACTGGGAATTTTCGGGACGGGGATTTTTCAGGACGGGGAATTTTCAGGACGGGGAATTTTCGGGACTGGGAATTTTCGGGACTGGGAATTTTCGGGACGGGGAATTTTCGGGACGGGGAATTTTCGGGACTGGGATTTTTCGGGATTGGGATTTTTCGGGACAGGGAATTTTCGGGACAGGGAATTTTCGGGACAGGGAATTTTCGGGATTGGGATTTTTCGGGACAGGGAATTTTCGGGACAGGGAATTTTCGGGATTGGGGTTTTTCGGGATTGGGATTTTTCGGGATTGGGA